CTGTGTTTATTGCTGCTTTGTTCACAATAGCAGAGAGTTGGAAGCAACCCGGGTGCCCATCAACAAGTGGATGAATGGAGAAGCTGTGGTGTATTCACACAGTGGAATACTGTGCTGCATTGAAAAACAGGGAACATATACAGTATTGTTCAAAGTGGATGACCCTGGAGGACATTATGCTGAGTGAGGTGTCTCAGTCACAAAGGGACAAATATTGCATGGTGCCACTGTTGTGGAACAGGACTGACATTGGGGTTGGGGAGAGGTTGAGAAACATTGGATAAATTATGTATACTTCATTGAGATGGATGAGGGATAGAACAGTTTAAAAGTGATAGGGTAATATGGTTGTGACAAGAGTCCAGAGCGAGGGTTGCATGGTGGAGTGTGCTGGGTGATGAGGAGGAATTGTATACCAATGAAGGAATTTTTCTTTTACTTTTCAGGGAGAGGAGTGGGCTGGGTGTGGAGGGGTAGGTAGGGAGAACAAAAGCAGCAATGAATGAATGGAAATCCAACAATCTCTGTAAATGTTCATTAAAATTAATAAAATAAAATTTTTAAAAAACAACAACAAAAAAATCACCCTGCCAACTAAAGGTACATGGTTTGAAACCAGATGGATTCTCTGTGGGAGAAAAATGGGCAGTTAATTCCCACACAGTTTACTATCTCTGAAAACCTGCTGGAGTGCCAGCTAGGAGTGGGTTCTGACTTATGGTACACAACAGCTCAATATTGTATTGGAAGGCAAAACAAAACTACTGGATCTAATTGCTCAATTCAACAAAATGGCAAGGCATAAGATCAAGATACAAAAATCAGTCAAATTCTTTTACAGTAACAAACGTAACCCTGAAAGGAAAACAGGAAAAAATAATACCATTTGCAACAGTCACCCAAAACATGAAATATTTCAGGATTAAACCTAAGCAGAGATATGAAAGACTACAAAACACTAAGAAACACAAAGAGATCTTTATAAAATGCTAAAACATACAACATTCTATGCTCATGGATCGGAAGACTTAACATTGTGAGAATGTCAACACTACCAAAACCAACCTACAAATTCAGTGCAATCCCAATCCATATCCTATCATCATTTTTTAAAATGAGGTACTAGTATAAGACCACTTTTATAAAATGTTACCAAAAGGTTTATACTCAGAAGCAATATCGGAGGTTTGATAGGGATGAAGAGAGAGAGGGGAGTAGCAATAAACAGACAAACTGAGTCTATTTATTGGAAAGGTAACACACAACAGAGTTGATAAGATATTGTAAAAAAATCATTAAACGTCAACAGTAATTAATGTTATAAAACAAACCAACTCATTGTCGTCAAGTCAGAGCCAACTCGTAGTTGACGCACCAGCGGGTTTTCAGAAATGGTAAATCGCATGGAGGAGCTGCCATCTTTCTCCTGAGGAGCAGCTATGGATTCGAACCTCCTGCCTTTGCAGCACAACTCCTTACCCACTAAGCCACCAGAGCTCCCCTATAAAGCAAAAGGTTATGAATTACTGTATGACAAATCAATATTTGTAAATTTTCACTCAAATAAAAACTTTAAAATATAGATACACAGAAGCAAACAGACACCTCTTTCTCTATGGAGCAGGTTGGTGGGTTCAAACTCAGCCTTCTGGTTAGCAATACAATGCTTAACTGCAGTGCCACCAGAGATTCTCATACTGCTCAGTGGTATTTAGTTAGACATCCACCAGACCATATGAACTAATTTTGCCTTTAATCATCTCATTCACTTGATTTGCTAGGGAAATAATTTTTAATTCATCTCTACAATAGTTTGCTAGTAATGGTGGTCTAGTGTGTTTCCTGTTGTGTTGCTCAGCCGAAAGATTGGTGGTTCAAATCTACCAGCTGCTCCACAGGAAAAGATAGGCGATCTCCTCCAGGAAAGGTGCACAGGCCTGGAAACCTGGCAAAGGGTCGCTGTGAGTCAGAATCCACTCAGCAGGTTTGGTTTAGAGTTGGACTGGTCATTAGTATAACATCTTCACCTTCCATGTGAGATGCCCAGGATCAAGTGCCAGCCAGTGCACCTCATGCAAAAGCAACATCTGTCTTGTCTGTCAGTAGCTTGCATGAAAGACCTGAACATCTACTTCTGAAAATTAGCCATTGAAACCCTGATGCATCACAGTGATCCAGTCTGCACCTGGTCATGGGGATGACACAGGAGCGGGGTAACTTTTTTTTTTTTCATTGTGCATGAAGTCACCGCTGCTTTTGGATCTTCAGCCAAGAATCTCATTTATCCACTCAGATTGAGAGCTATGACCTCTGGAGGGAGCCGAAGTCCAGGCAGCTATCCACTGGGGAGAGAAAGATGTTAAAAACACAAGACAGAAGGATCAAATGCCGTGCAAATAGAAGGAAGACTCTTCGGGTGCTCAGGATAGCATTTCCTGAGGGTCCAGATCAAGTCTGAACATGTGAGAAGGAGCCAGCTGGCTGAAAGTACTGCAAAGAGACTTAAGAGCAGAGGGTGCCACAGAGGGCTAAAGGCCAAGTAGAACTTGGAGGTTACTTCCCATGTATACAGGGGTGAGGGAAGAGTGGCAAGCGCCTGTGCCTTCACATGTTGTCTCATAGCTGTCAGATTAGCCAATGAAGTCCCGTCTCCTCCTGTACTGGGCGAGCTCCAAGGGAACTTCCTTTTCTCCAGTTCTGTATCGTGAGAACTTATCCCACAGATAACACTTGTCATGTGCCAGGCATATAAAGCAAGGAGCAAAATGGATAAAAATATCTCATAGTGATATATGTCTATTTATATTTATACACTGGGAGCTCTGTTAACCTAGTAGTATTTACAATCCAAAGGTACAAGGTTCTGACCCACCAGATACTCCACAAGTACAGGCAGTCTCCTCCCATGTGATTTGCCACCTCTGAAAACTCACCAGAGGGTCAGCTATGACTCAATTCTAACTCAGTGGCATGTAAGGACAATCATATATTTAAATATATATATATATGTCTGTGTTTGTGGTGTTATGTGTCATCCAATCTGAACTGACTCATGGCTGACCCTCTAGTGGATTTTCAGAGTCTCTAAATTGCATAGAGGAAGACTTTTCTCCTATGGAACAGCTGATGGATTCGAACCATATACCTTTAGGTTAACAGCACAACTCCTTACCACTAAGCCACCAGGGTGTTGTGTGTGTGTGTGTGTGTGTGTGTGCGCGCATGTATGTATTATGTTAAAAGATAACGGCCAAGGGAAAGTATAAAGCAGGGAAGAGAAAGTAGAGCACAGTGGTTGCTGATTGAGAGGGAGCCAAAGAGGAAGGTCTCAGCAGAATGTGGTGCTTACAGACCCCAGAGGGGAAGAACATTCCAGGAAGACAAAATGAGCCATACAAAGGTCCTGGGATAGAGAAGCAGAGAGGGGGCAGAAAGATAACAGCTGTCTAGACCATAAAGGTCAAGGCCACTTAGCCTAGCAGACTACTGGAGATAGGCCCAAGGTGGAAGAAATATGGCTCTGACCCAAGGCTGTGGTGTTTTTGTGGTGAATTGCTTCATATCCATGGGGAAGGAGGACAATGAATAAGGAAGACCAGAGAAGAATGGATGCTTCTGTATTGTGGTGTTGGCAAAAATAGTGCCAGAAAAATGCACAAATATGTCTCAGAATAAGTACAGGCAGGATGCTGGTTAGAGGCAAGAACGTGAAGGTTTTCTCTCACATACTGTGGGTCTGTTCTCAGGAGGAAGCACTTCCTAGAGAATGACGTCAGGCTTGATAAAATAGTTGCTGCACAATAGAAAGATCCTTAAGGGGGTGGACTATTGACATTAGTGGTTGCAGCACGAATGGGCTGAAGCATAGCGACACTGCAGGGCTGGGTACTGTCACTCAGTGGGACACATGGTCACTAGGAGTCTAAACGGATCCAGTGGCACAGAGCCACAAATATTTAAAGGTAGTGTTCAAACGCAGCCAGCAGCACATAGAAGACTTGGCAGTCTGCTTCTATAAATATTAGAGCCTCCCATCAACAAATGAATGGATAGATAAGCTCTGGGATATTCACACAATGAAATACTATGCTGCATTGGAAAAATAAGGAACTCATGAAATAATATTCAAAATGGGTAACCCTGGAGGACATTATGCTGAGTGAAGTATCTCAGACACAAAAGGACAAATACTGCATAGGGCCTTTGTTGTAAAATGGGACTGACATCAGCGTTGAGGGGAGACTGAGAAAGATGGGATAAATTATGTATACTGCATTGAAACAGATGAGGGAGAGAACTGTTTAAAAGGGACATTTAATTAGGTATTATTGTCATGACAGGAATCCAGAATGAAAGCTGCACAGTGGAGTGGACTTGGGGGGAGGAATTGCATAACAATATAAGAATTTTTTTCTTTTTTTTTTTCACTTTTCAAAGAGAAGAGCGATTTGGGGGGGGCAGGGAGAAAAGTGCAACAATGAATGAATGGAAACCCTGAGTCTCTGTAAACTTTCCTTAAAATTAGTTTTAAAAAATGAAAAAAAAATTATAGCCCAAAAGGAAAACACAAAACAGATAAAAAATCCCCACGGCACAGTTCTGCTCTGCCACACAGGGGCCTGACTGCCTTGGCTACAGACTCACTTGCTGGCAGTGGGGTTTGTGTGGTTTAACAACTGAAGAAATTTCTGTAGATTCATTTATTAAAACAAAACATGGTCTTGCTGTGTAACCTTGTATCTTGCTAAACCCGGGAGACTTTCCCAGTCTAAAGTTAATAATCTCACCTGGAACTCCCCAGCTGGGCTATATGCTGATAAAGCACTGATTCTTCTCTTGTTGCGGCACAGAAGGGGTCCACACGGTGTGGTTGGGCCAGTTTGTGCACAGCGCGGTGTGCTGGTTTTCCTGCGGAGGGCTTTCGTTTTGTGAGCTGGCGTCCAAGGTGGCAGTAAGATTGTGCCTTCTCACGTGCCTCTCTCCCATCGTCTCCCATTTAGGTTCCCGGTAAATACACAGTCGTAGCCGATCAGGAAATTGGAGGCCCTGAGGCGCTCTCGGTGAAGAGCGGGGACGTGGTGGAGGTGATCCACGAGGGTGACGAGGGACTTTGGTAAGAGGGGCCCCCTCAATCCACTCACAGCTAGGACCTGGTGTATACCCGGGCTAGAGCCATTTGACACTCACACCCCTTCCAGGTATGTTAGGAACGTGACCAGCAGTAAGGAGGGGTGGGTGCTGGCCGGCAGCCTGTCGACACTCATCGGCAAATCCAAATCAGCTCAGTGCTTGAGCAGCTCAGGTAAGAGCCCACACACCACACCACCCTCGCTCAGACCCTCCTGGTCACAGCCCAGAGTCACTTGGAAATAAGGAAAAAACCGAAGCAGAAACAGTAAACACGGCAATCGAGTCAACTCACAGTAACCCCACGTGTCAGAGTAGGACTGTGCTCCCTAAGCTCTCAGTGGATAAAGTTTTGGAAGCCGATTGCCAGGCCTTTCTTCCAAGGCACCCTGAGGGGCGTTTGAACTGCCCACCTTCCAGTTAGCAGTGGAGTGTTTAACCATGTGCAGCAAGCACCCAAGGACTTCCAAAAGAAAAAGAGGGGAGGGACTTTTTTTTCTTTTTTTAATAAATTAAAGCTGACACAAATCTCCACCTGTTCATCCTCTGTTTTTCCCTCTTCCAGAGTCGGGCACTGGCTCCGCCTTGCTGAGCAACTCCTCCAGCTGTAGCGAAAGTTGCAATGTTACCTTCTCAGACCTCAAGGGTTAGCAGCCGAGGCCTGGCTTCACTTCCCATAGTAAGGACTCTTGAGCAGACTCTTGAAGCCGACGAGCAGTAGACCAGCATGCGAATCTCTTAAGTTTTCTTTTGCTTGGGCTTGCTTAGTTGGGTGAGGGCATGGTGCTTTTACAAGAAATCCTGGAGAAAGAGGGTCCTGAAAGAGCTGAACTACCTGGCTGTCGAGGAAATCCAAGATACAGGATTGCAGGAGAACCTTCTGAAAGGAAAGGGTCTAGAAGGTTCTGCTCTCAGGTCTCCACGTCCGAACACCCTCTGCAGCCAGTTTCCGCAGGAGGAAGGCGACCACGACCACAGCACACCAAAGCTTCCTGGGAACAGTGGGTGGAGATGGGTGCAGGCCACGTCACATGTTGGGAAGAAGGCTGAGAACAGGTACCCAGCGGCCTCCACACGTCCCTTCCTGCACTCCTGCATGGGGAGGCCTAGGTCTTTCTAAGCAGCCAGGAATGACACCTTGCTCCAGCCATTCAGCTTTTGTGTTCTGGTATATCTGGTACAGTGCTTTCTGCAGGAACGCACCTAACTGTTGAAGCTGTTTCCAGAATTGGGTGATTCACTGACCCAACAGCTTGAGGAGAGAGGGGTGGTGGGGAGGGAAGTACTCTCGTCTTTTACAAGTCTTTTTTTTAAAAAAACAAAACAAAACAGGGATGTATCCCATGGCCATTTTTTTGTGGTACTTTGGCCTCTGATCTTTACCAAGAATCACTGTGTTTACATACAATGACAATTTGATACTGTATTTGATATAAAACTATTTTTTTGTTACTGGGGTTTACATCAAAACATGTTTATACCACTGAATGATCTGGGGTGGGGGGTCTGTCTCTCATGGAAACTGATGACCCTCCTTCCCTGAGGCTCTTTCGAACCTGCTCACAGGTGAACGAGGTGAATGAGCCCTTGATGAAATCAGGACGTTTCTACGCCCCAAAGCAGTTAGAAACCAAGGCATTTTCTTTACAGACATAGGTTTCATTTTCAAAAGAACACTTAAACTATAATTTAAAATATTGCTCTTCTTTTCTATTCATAAAAATGAGGGGACTCAATTTTTTTAAAAAAGCTTCACTGAATTAGGGTATTTTTATTGTTTTTAAAGAAAATATAAAGATGCAATTTTTGCAAGGATGTCATCTGAACCAGTGCTGTTAAATACCGCTTAATTAGTACCATGGTTCCTTCATGCTCAGCCTTAGAAGATGCAGGCAGTACCTCAGCGATCCCCTCCTCCATCACAACCTTCCTCCTGCTCACAGAATAAAACCTTGCCCGCGTACTGTATTATAATCACCCTTGGATCCATAGAGATAAATGTGGAGAGTTTATTCAAATCAAGGCAGAACTGGAAAGAAAACTCTTCCACTTTATTCCTCATGAGAGTGTGTGTGTGTGTGTGTTTCAAAAACAAATTCTGTTCTTTCAAAACCCTTTCTGTATCTGGTTGGGGCAGATATTTTTATATGTATGTATATATGTTGATGTGTGTGTACATATATATCTTGATGTAAAGGATGTATTTATAGTCTTCACGCTGCTGAAAATGTGTCACTTTACAGTTTCCTCCATATGTTTTCGCACCCACTGGAGCCACAACCAACCTTGTCCTGCCCACTGGTGTTTCCAAGGGAAATCCACCTGAGTTAAGTGCACTCGTGCGCCACCCTGTGGTAATGCAAGACCATTGCTAGCCAGACCTCTCTAGAATATGGTAATAAAATAGAAATCGTACAAAAACTTGGTAGCTTTTCTTCTGGTGTATAACTTATTTGAAAAAAACAACATGTAACATAATTAATATATTGTTTGGGCACAATTCCCTTCATCTCAACATGGTATTTCCATTTTATTTTTAAATCTCTTCCTCATAAAGGCACTTTAAAAACCCACGTTTCATTCCCTGTTAACTTTTAAAAAAAAAAAAAACTGCTGATGTAAATGAAATTTCTTTATTGTATGGATGAAGTTTGAATAAATATCAGCATCTCTTGCCGTCTGCCTTCATTTGTAAAGGCACAGGAGTTCCTATATGTTGTATGTTCAGGGCATTGGGGTGTTATTTTATGATCATGTAAAGAGCCTTGGTGACACAGTGGTTGAGCATTTGGCTCCTAACTGAAAGGTTGGTTGTTCAAAATCACCAGCAGCCCCATGGTTGAAAGAGGTCGCAGTCTGCTTTTGTATCATTTTGGAAGCCCTGTAATTCCACAAGTCTATTCATTGTTGGCACTTACTCATAGCTGACCCTCTGTGGATTTCCGGGACTGTTAATCACACAGGAAGAGCCTCATCCTTCTTCTTTGGAGCAGCTTGTGGTTTTAACTGCTCGAGATGTGGATGTAGCCTTTGGATTAGAAGTGCAGCTCCCTGCCTGCGAACTGGCCACCAGAGCTCTGGAATCCCCTCGGGGAAGTTCTTTTTCTTGTGAAGGGTTGCTAGAAGTCAGAATCAACTTGACAGAAATGAGTTCCTAATGAATATGTATTCCTAATAGAAGGTGCTCTGGTGACCCAGTGTGCAGGGTGTTTCACTACCCACCAAAAGGCCATGTCTCTCTGGTGGTTTGGATCTGCCCACTGCCTCACAGGAGGAAGATAGGCAGGCTTCTCCCATTAAGACGTACAGCCTCAGAAACTCAATGGATGGTCATCTGTGAGGCAGACTTGACACCAGGGCAGTGAATTGAGTTGAGATTCAAAAGAGAGCAAGCATATACAAAGATAGGAACGAGATAAACAATAACACACTATGAACAAGTAAATTTGATCCAAGAATGCAAAAAGTTCTGTATTTAAAAATGCTTTGTTGTAATATTGCTGGGATAATACAGCACCTTCACATGCCCCTCCCCTATATGCTTTATTTTGTTAAGAGAGTAATTAAAATTACAGCCAGGTAAGTATGTCACAGTATAAATAGAATTAAACCACTACAATGATTGGTAACTTCTCAGTCAATCCTTGGAAAAAGGAATCATGTTGGGAAAAGTGGAAGGTCAGAGAAAGAGGAAAACCCTCAACACGATTGACTGACAGAGTGAATATAACAATGGCCTTGAGCTGATCAGAGATCAAGAAGATTGGGAAGGATAGGGCAAGGGTCAGGTCTGTTGTTCATAGGCTTGTAGACTCAATGACAACCATAACAACCAATAAGGGAAAGGTCATCAGTGTAATTGAAGAAAGTAAAACGTGAATACAAAGCACAAAATATAATGGCAATAACCAAACCACATGTATCTTACTCCCAATAAGTGTAATAATATTTAACTACCTTATGGAAAGATCTAATGTCATATTAAATTGGACATAACAAAGTCTAGATACTCCCCAACTGACTTGAGTTACAAAGCACTGTATTTATGACCATCTTGTGGCTGTTGTACACCTTATCGTGGGTAATACTGTTACAGTGCCTAATTTGCTGGTGTTATTCCTAGATGTTGACTTGCAGAGTCTCAATTTTATAGTTCAAGGCATTGCAGACTTTGAGAAATTAAGACTGCAGGATTATATATGTAATAGTATTTTGTTGAAAACTCTGGATGTATAAACATACTGATAAAAGAAGGTAGAAATAATTATTACTTTAAAAAAGAAAATGAAGTATTCTACTTATATCAGTGATTAGTCATTGGCATGGAACCCCACTGAAAGTTGAGAAGTAGCTATAAAAAATAATAAAAGATCATTAAACACAGGTTAAGAGTAGAGACATTTCAAATCTATACTAGATCAAACACCAAAAGCTGGCCTGGCAATATTGATAACACAAACTGAAATACAGAACAATTAGTAGAGCAAAATGATGGTATAAAACAGTCACAAACTTGTAAGCCTCTCAAAATATAGAAAGCAAAAATTTTAATTAGCAGTTTGGTGGGAGATCTTAATTATCTCTTACAGAAATTGTGAGCCACTCTTCTCTAAAAATAGAAAAAGCATACATTATTTTTCAACATATACAGTAATTTATGAAACAAAGCAATTTTTAAAATATTTTTTGTAATTTGAAAAGTATTTTTCTAACTCATGTTTAAAGCGGGAATGTCATTGGAAATCCTCATATACTTAAAAATGGAAAGAAGTACCTATTTGAGCTCATGGATATATCTAAGGTTATTTGGTTTGACATTTATTACTTAACCACATTTAATTTTTTGCATGACAAAATATATAAGCATTTAAAGAAGCTAAGAAAAGAACCACTGGACCAATAGCTAACATCGTGATAGGTGGAGAAAATATTCAAGTTGCCAATAATTTCATCTTACTTGGATCCACAATCCGTGCCCTTAGTACCAACA